GGACTCCACGGAAGTTCGAAGGATTCCAAAACATTCCGATTATCTCTTTAGTCCTGTTGTCTCTGCTATTACACAATTATGTTTCTTCTCAATCTTGTATTATGAAGAAAGAATGACCACAATATCAATGAAAATTAATGTGGACATTCGCACAGGCAATGCATAGATTATTTAATAACTTTGTGCTTAAAGAAACAAGAGTTATTTTATTACTGCGATCAACTTATATACCCTAACCAAAAAATTCTGGGATACTTCAGAATTTTTTGCATAGGATATATAGAAATTGTTGCTAAACATAATATATGAATTTTTAATAATAAACATCGAATTATCCAATAGTGATTTTTTAAAAATTCATATATCAGATATTGATAAAGATAATAAAAGAAAAGAAAAAATTGAACAATTAAATAGTGATATACTAATGATTGCCATGTATATGATTGAAATTATTCTGAATCTCAAATTTGTAAATATAAATTTGAATCAAATTGATTTAAACGATTTAATAAAATTAATATTAAATTCCAATCACAGTCTCAAAATAAAATCAATATAGGAGATAATATTAAATCACTTAAAATTTGTTTCATCAGATATAAAATTATTCTTTTTATTTGGTTTAATTTTTTTTCTTCATCCTATTGAAAAGTTTCTTCATCAATTGGATGATATAATCCACATATAATTGATAATCTTCTTTCTCCTTCACCATTCCGATCATCTTCAACTGTCATTAAAACAAATGATTGATGTGATTCTGAACTTGTTGATAGAAGATGTTCTTGAGCATGGTATCCTCCTCCATGAGGTAAAAATATTTGAGATAGTGTATATAAGCGATGTTGACCATTTAAATATATACTTAAACGACGATTATTTATATTTTCATCTCCTTGAAGAAAAACGGGCAATGTTGTCGATTTTCTTCGATTACTTGTTACTTGTCGACGAAAATAATTTTGGCTCATTTTTAATATTCACCTATACTACTCGTATTTTATTCCTTTTTTTTATATCAAAACTCTTTTTTATTGCTAAACATGATAAGATACATTTCGTTTTTTTTTATGATACCTCTTCTTAAACGTTTCCAGATCGAACTACGTATATGCAATCTTTTATATTATTTCCAATGAAAAAGTCTCAAAAGTGCTTTTCTTTTAGACTATTTTCAATAATTGTCTCTGTTACTAATTCTGTCTAATAATTTCTTTTCCGAAATATTCCTCGATAGAAATCTCACAAAACAAATCAATCATACCGTTCTTTCAAGAGAATTCTTCTTCAACGAATAGAAATCATCAATTTGTTCATTTTTATCAGCTTTTCAATCAGTAACAAGGAAATGTATTTTCTTCCATAAATGTACTGAAACTATTCTCATTTCATAAATGAACATTCTTAATTGATTCGATTAGTATTCATTCAGCTAATGAAGATCTGTTCACATAATCATGTTTAACGAAGAATGACCTCAGAAGAATAGAGTTTGAAGTATTTCCTACCAAGATATATCCTTTTCAGGATGTAAATATGCTGTAATAAAGATATTTCTACTAGTAAAATGATTCAAATAGTGAATATTTCAATGATATAAAGATTGAAATTTAATCTTTGAAAGTCGTTTTCTTCTTATTGTAATTCTTGTTAAATGTATTCATAATGAATGGAGATCTATATCGCCGTCGATGTTGCATTGGAAAAGATTGTACTGTTATATTATTGGGATGGACATTTGAAGTTGATCGATGTTGGTATCAAGATGGACGATCTTGTTTAGAATGTTGTATATTCGGATATCCAAATGAACGTAACAATGATTTATCCAAAGTTATATCTGTTTGTCATGCTTCAACAATTCTACCATTTTATAATTTTATTCATCGATTATTCATTTATTGAACATTTTTTTTTCTGTAATTATTTCAAATAAAATAAAAATCTTTTATTGGTGAGAGAAAAAGAATTTTTCTCAAATATTATTACTATTTGAAATTTATTTTTATTCAAAGAGAAGAATGAAAAAAGTACATAATTAATAAACAAATATCTTCTTTAGATCTCAGAATATCGTGACTAGACATAAAAATGATTGAAAAGAAAATGTTGACTTCTATTGAATTGATATTATTTAATTTTTATAATTTTTCCTTGTTCAATATGTAAAATTTGATCAAAGTCTAGTAGATGTGCTTGTTCTGTATGTAAAGTAAGAAAAAGAATTCCTTTGGATTGATACCATTTAATAATATTCTGAATAATATTAAGTGTTGTCTCAGCAGGTAAACCTTTATCTGGTTCATCAAGTATTAATATAGAAGAATTTCGATGATATGCACGATAAAGAGCTCGTGCTAATAATAATCGTGTTTTTTGTCCTCCACTAAGTTTATTTTCCATAGGTTGATAAAGATCACCTTTGAGATCATTTTTAATAAAATCTTCTATTTGAACAAGATGAATTATTTCCCATATCAATGAATCTATTTCAGGATTTTTTTCTTGATTAATATCATCTTCATCAATATCTGTTATCATACTGTAAATAGTTGATCGATAATCCATTTTTGCATCTTGTAAAACCATTGTTCGACATTTTTCAATTGAATGAAGTGTTTGTGATGATTTCTCTTCATTATCTATGTGAATTTGACCAGAATAATTATTGATTGAAATAGAACCATTTAGAATATCATAGAATGTAGATTTTCCTTAAATAAGAATCATTTTATTTTCAAAAATAAAATAAAATATGTTAATTACCTGCTCCACTCTTTCCTTTAATTAATATTGTTTGTCCCTTTTTAAAAGTAAGACAATGATTATGATGTAAATGAAAATCTCCTCTTTTATCTTTATATTCAAATGAAAGATTTTCAATTTGAAATTGATAAATTAAATCAATTTGTTCAACATTAATTCTTTCTTGATATTCTTCTAATATTGGTTTAATAAGATCAAAATCTTTTTTAAATTTAATCCATCGAATATATGCCATAATTAATTTCTGAACAATATTAGTCAATTTTGATAGAGAATTATACAATGGAATAAGATATATATTAGTTCGATATAATGCATAAAAAATAGTTAAAATTAAAAAAGTTGACAATTTACCAATAATATCTTCTTTTAATGATAAATAATCATAAAGATGATTGTATGTAAACATTTGTCTTTCCATATCATTTTTTAGTTGATTTGTTATTTGAATAATTTTATTTTTATCATGATGAATAACATATTCAAACATGTTTTCATTTACACGAAAATATTTTGAATATAATTTATTACGTTTTTCAATTAATTTTGTTTTTATATGTAGTAAATTTTCACTTTGTTTATTTAAATATAAATAATATGAAGAGAAATAAATCATTCCAATTAATAGACATGCCATTGGACATATATAGAATACAGTCATCATTGTTAAAAGAAATCTATTCATTTCTTTTAATTGATCAAGAATATCTTCAAAAAGAAATTGAACAGAAGAACAAGCTCGTTCCAATTTTTGTCGAATATTTTCTTGATCAGATAATTTAATTTTCATCCAATCACTACTAAGTATTCGTTGATATAATTTCGATCGAAACTCTTCTAGAAAATCAAGAACAAATATTCGTTTAGCTAAACGTTGTTTCATTGAACAATACGACGTAATAGTTTCAAATATAATCAATAATAGAAGATATTTCAAACCTTGTTCAACATTATTAGTGATTGTTGTAAAGAAACATACATTCAAATAAGTAGTTAATGTCATTGACATTGTAGTTAATAGAAACCATTTAATGAAATCTAATGTTTTCAATTTGATTATTATATCGAACATAATATTGAACAATGACCATTCAGATGAACTTCTCCAATAAATAAATCGCATTCTTATTTTCACAATAATACTTTTACTTTTTCACTAAAATATCTTCAATTAAATATCTATATTGTTCTTTTTATAATGAATAAGAATCTAATCCTCTGATAAAACACATCATGGGAAAAAGGAACATATATTTTTAAAGTAATTTCGTAATGATCAGATTTTTCGAAAGACAATGACGTTTATCTCTAAAAACAATCATCATTACTCATAAAACATTTTTATCTAATTCTTCCACATCAAATCATTGTGACACTCCGTTAATATAATCATATCTTTGTGTTCTCACGGATTTTTTCAATATATTTCACTTTAGTCACATGTTTCATTGTTTTTCTCGTTCCTTTCAAGGGAGATTCGTCTGATGTCTTTTTATTTCTTTTTTTTTTCAATCATTTAAAGAGTAATCGAAAGATATTTGTTCTTGCAATCTTATATTTCCTTCTAACAACACTAAATAATATAAATATAGATCGTTCATGATGCAAAATACAAAAAAATAATGCTTTTAAAAAATCACATACGATGTTAATGCTGATATATTTAATAAAAAAAGGCACATTATAGCAACAATTGTAGAATAGTCATTTTCAAGAAAATATGACTTTATATCTTTTAACATTACCTGTCGGAATTGATCTATCGTATATTGGGCAATCTCTAACTACTAGATATTCCAAGGGGGAAACAGTTGATTCCGTGTCATTGGAATCCTTGGAATCCCATGGAATCAGTCAGAGGAATTAGTCAATAGCGTCAGTAGGGCGTGGATGTAGGTATTATACGCTCGCACACCCACACCCTCAGTATATAATATCAGCATTTTAGACTTGATAAAACCTGCTTTTTTTGTCAATCTATTTGTGATATCAAGCAAATAAACAGAGATTCAATGATAGAGAAGTTTTATTGTCTTTTAGCTACAGATTATGTCAATACTGGATATTTATATCTTAACAAGAATATAAACTATGAAGTACAAATAAAAAATATCTATCTTCATTATTTGAAATAATCAACATTAAAATGCAATTGTAAAAAAACTAATATTTTCTTTTTCGCTGTTTATTTTTAGTTTCTTCTCAGAATTAAATACCAATAGAGTATGTTTTATACAGAAATACATTTCTTCATTGATCTTCTATGAATAATTTCAAAATTATATGAAAATACAAAATAAAATTTATTTATTGTGTCTGCATATTCACTACACAATATTCTGGAGTGAATATCTGAAATGCTCAGATACGAATAAAGCAAAACAATAGTTCTTTTTTTTATAAAGTTATTTTTATAATACAAAATTCAAGTAATTCTTCTGTTATTAACACAAACTATTTTGCATTATGCATTTTCTTTTTCAAGTAATAACTAGGGTTTTATTTGATATTAAGGATATGATCATATAAATGCACACGCTGTTCTTTTCCTTCTCGCTCACATCTGCGAAAAGAAAGAGAACTGATAAAGACCAGTTCTAATTCTGAGTAAAGGTATATGGATAAATCTGTATCCAGTTATGCTACCAGAAATTTAAATGTTGGCTATGTATCCGTATGGATGGTATAGTAATTTATAAAGAAGAGAACTCTAACCTGTATGGGTTATTGTAAAGGATTCAAACAATATAGTGAAATCAAATTGTACGATCTTGTATGAACGTGCAAGAATCTGTGATTGATCTCACTGTCTGATTGATTGACTTTGATCCATTCGTTTGAGCTAAAACTTTTAGAATGTAATAATTGTTATGAGATCTGTTATTGGAGAAAGTTTCAAATGAAGACTCGTTATTGTAGTTTTTTTTTGCTAATATCCTGCAATATGCTGGAAATTTAATAGAACAATCATGAAAGGCTTAAGAGCACGAACATGTTTAATATTTTCATCATGACTATGAGTCCTAATTATGAGCTCGAACAGAGGATATCAGTTGAAGAAGTTCTCTCAATATCTATTTGCTGATAAATAGGACAAAAAAAATGTTTGCTCATGTTTTTACTAGAGTCATACAGATTATATTTAAAAAACAAAACGATTAATATATTATCTAGTTTATATTTGATCAAAAGTTTTCTTTTCTCTGAGTTATTATTCAAGTCATAACACAAAAACCAGGAAATTTTCGAGAAAATATCTATATGAAAAAAATATATATCTTCACGAATTTTTAGGTGTAGTAACAGAAACTGGTGATATGATTAGATGTTTTTTTAGTATTACATTTGGTTCTTGTCATTGTAAAATTTCAGCAACAGCATGATGAAAACCTGATTGATTAAATAAAAATGCACTAACAGGTCCATGAGGAATATATCGAATATGAATACCAGGTCATACATCATTCATATGTGGAATACCGTCATGTAATACATAACCATCATGTGTACAAGCAATAAACATAGCATTAGATATATTTGATTGAACTGAACGTGAATAATTATATAAAGATGTAAATTCATCCATGAGAAGACGCATCATATCTTTAATAAGATCGAGAACAATTTTATTTGAATCTATTGATCGATTTCGTTCACGTAAATAATCATAAAATGTTTGAGAGGCTTTATTTGCATAGAATTGTCGAGAAGGTAGATCAGGCCATCTAAAATATAAATATATACACAATGGCTACCAAAATGATTCAACTTTTACTCAATAAAAAACCGTCCTAGAGAGTTCAAGTACTAGATACTGAGAAAGTAGACTTTTGGGTTGTCTAAAAAAATCCTAACTTAGGGAATCAAATAATCAATGTTTTTAATTTATATTCTTTTTGTAATATGGTTTGATCTACTTGAATCATTATTTGAAATGATGATAGATACTGTATATTCATTCATTAAACAGATCAAATAATAGAATTGAATCTTACTTTGTAAATGCTAATGAAGTCATATGTCCACCAAGAGAAAAATCATGTAAAATAGCTGGTGTTAATTTCATTTTTTGACACCAATGAAGTAATACAAGAGTTTTACCCATAATTTATAAATCGGTAATATACAATAATGATGAACGAGATTGATCTGGTGGTTTTCTTAAACCATAATATGGATTTTCAAGAAGAATTGAACCTATAGGATATTGATTAATTAATGTGACTGTAGTAAATAACCTTCGTCTACTAAAACCATGATCACCTGTTCCAGAATAACAAATTCCTATTAGAATTGAATCAATACCAAAACGATGATCACATGATAGAACAAGTTGAAAATGAGCTGTAGCAACTTGAGATGGAACCTATTTAAATAAATATAACAAAAGAAAAAAGATAATATTAATTAAATGATTAAAATAATTTTAATTACTTACCAAATGTGGTAAATAATTGGCAAGTGGTGAACGAAATCGAGCATTTATATAGTTTTGATTACCTTTTTGTTTCTTGTTTAATTATTTCAACAGTATTTTCCTGTACATTTCCAGCTAGTACCAGTTCTAAACACTCATCTCTTACAGCAATTTTTTCACGTCGATAGGTAAAAAGTTTTTGTAAATGAAATGGATTTCCCCAATCACGTACAACTGATTGAGTTAATATAAAACACCGAAAGAGATTATCGAAATTCATCATTTCAATCGTACTCGAATCTTTAATATCATCTAGAGAATTGTTGATCTGATCTTCTTTTTCTTTAATCGAACAAAAAACAGGACAATACAATGCTTTAGTATTCTCAATAGTTTATAAACACACACAGACACACA